TCAGCCCCAGACACAACAGCTATTTAAGCTCTGGGAGAGTTTTTTTTTTCCGTTTTCTTTTCTTTTTTTTCTTTTTAACTGCCAAGTTCAGAATTGAATTGCTGATTTCTTTTCTCACCAGAAAAGAAAATAACAGATACTTCTTTTTAGGCCAGGAGCATTCTTCAAAGAGGCTTAACTAAAACCAAATCAAGCCGGGCTCAGCGACTCGTGCCTATAATCCCAGCACTTTGGGTGGCAGAAGCAAGAAGATTGCCTGAGCCCAGGAGTTCGAAACCAGCCTGGGCAAGTTGGCAAGACCTCATCTCTACAATAAATGAAAACATTAGTCAGGTGTGGTAGCACACACCTGTAGTTCCAGATGCCTGGAAGACTGAGGCAAAGGATTGCCTGAGCCAAGCAGGTCAAGCTGCGGTGGCTGTGAGTGTGCCACTGCACTCCGACTGGGTGACAGAGTAAGACTCCAACTCAAACAAAACAAAAAAATTTCTTTCTATTTCTTTTTTTTTTTTTTGAGTTGGAGTCTCACTCTGTTACCCAGACTGGAGTGCAGTGGCCGCTCCCGGCCACTGCAGGCTCGACCTGCTGGGCTCCGGTGATCCTTCCGCCTCAGTCTTCCAAGTAGCCAGAATTACAGGCATGTGCTACCATGCCCGACTGATTTTTTTATTTATTGTAGAGATGAGGTCTTGCTGCCCAGGCGGGTCTTGAACCCACGGGCTCAGACAATCCACTCACCTCAGCCTCCCAAAGGCGCGGGATTACAGGCTGAGCCACCGAGCCCGGTTTCTTTTCATTTCTTAGAAGAAAACAGGAACTCTGGGTTCTAGCCCTTTGGTGCCCCGATTGCCCAGGATCTACCAAGTCATCATACTACGAGGTCTAAAGGATACCACATGTGAAGACCCCATGGATAGTCAGTACTCCTGAGGGCTAGTACGCCTTACCTTTGAAGCCTGTCACCACTTTGACATAATATGTTGTACCCCTGTAGCTGAAAGAAAACATTAGCAGGAATAAGATGAAGAGATAAAAAAGACATCCAATTTAAAAAGGGTCATGGATGGGACAGTCAGGTAGGAACAGAAAGGTGAGACGGAGTAATAGGTTTGTGAAGGAGCTGCTGAAAAGGTTTATTTAACCTAAAAGAAGTACCCTTTTTGTCTCTAACCATTCCTTCTGTTTTCCCAACATAATGTGTACTACATATTTCTATTTATTTTAAGTGTATCTATTATAAGTTTTTGCTTTGTGGTTACAATGAGGTTTACAAAACAATATTTTATAGTTGTAACAGATTATTTTAAATTGATAATGGCTTAACTTTGATCACAAAGAAAAGTTTCAAAAACAAACTCTAGACCAGGTGTTTTGGGTCACACCTGTAATCCCAGCAGTTTGGGAGGCTGAGGCAGGAATATTGCTTGAGGCCAGGACTTGAATCCAGCCTCGGCAACATAGTAAGACCTCGTCTCTACAAAATATCAAAAAATTAGCTGGGCATGGTGGTTCATACCTGTGGTCCCAGCTACTTGGGAGGCTGACACAGGAAGATCACATCAGTCCAGGAGCTGGAGGCTGCAGTGAGCCATGATTGTGCCACTGCACTCCAATCTGGGTGACAGAGTAAAACCTGACTCAAAAACAAAACAAAACAAAACAAAAATCTCTACACAAACACTATTTCTCTCACATTTTGACTTTTTTGATGTTTCAATTTACATCTTTTTGTATTGCCTATCTCAATCAATTGTAGTTATTTTTTAAAGTTTTATCTTTTAGTCCTCATATCTAAAATATAAGTGGTTTACTTACCACAATTGCAATATTAGAATATTCTGAATTTGTCTTTTTTAAATTTTTACCAGTGAATTTTATACCTTCAGGTGTTTTCTTGTTACATGTTTGAATGTGCTTCCTCCAAAATTCAGGTATTAGACCTAAATTGGTGGCTCATGTCTGTAATCCCAGCACTTTGAGAGGCCAAGGTGGGAGGATCATTTGAGTCCAGTTTTTGGGGGGAGTCTTTCCTCATATATCCAGGCTGAAGTGCGGTGGCACCATTCCAGTTTCTCTATGTTGCCTAGGCTGATCTCCAATACCGAGGCTTGAGCAATCTCTCACATTGGCCTCCTAAAGTGCTGGGAAAACAGGTGTGAGTCACGGTACCTGACCAGGTTATTTTATATATAGCCCAAATAAGCATATCTTTTCTTGTGGTGGGACAACTCAAATATTTTCTTCTAGCTATTTTGAAATGTACAATAAATTATTGGTAACTATAAGTCCCCCTACAGTGTTATTGAACGCTGAGAATTATTCCTTCTATCTAAGTGTATTTTTCTACCCATTAAACAGCCTCCCTTTACTCCTCTTTCCCCCTCCCTTTCCCAACCTCTGGTACCCATCGTTCTACTCTCTACCTCCCTGGGATCTACTTTTTTTTTTTTTTTTTTGAGTTGGAGTCTCACTCTGTCACCCAGACTGGAGTGCAGTGCCG